TCCGAACTTATCCGATAGGACCGACAGAAAAAAAAAAAAAAAAAAAAACCCGCCCGCCGACCCAAATTTTTAGATTCTTAGATTCCATGTTATGCAAAACGAAAAATTAACTTTGCGTGGCCTTACTTTTTTTTTTTTTTTTGGTTTTTTTATACAATTAATATTTACAAACAAAAAAAATTTCTCATGCAGGCATTGTCTCACATGAAGATGACCCTTTGTCTGGGGCGTTTTGTTGAAAGTACAATTAGATATTTTTATGGTTCACTTCATTTTTCTACTTTGGGAAAATTATGCATGCACCCAATTTTGGGTAAAAAAAAAACCCCCGATATAATATAAATCATGTGATATGTCTATAAGAAATTGTATAAAAAGGCAGATTCCCCGCTCACAACCTATCGCGTCACGTGAATAAGGCTGTAATACCCATAGAATTCCCGTATTTAAAAAATAAATCATAAAAAAATTCCATAGTTCATCTATGGGTTTAGATAAAGTTCGTATTGCTTTCAATATTTCTTCGGTGCCAGTGAATAATTGCGTGTCCTCATTTGAGATTTTAGGTGCATCCTGAATAACTTCATATAGTTTACTTGGGTCATTAGCGATATCATTTTTTAAATGTATATCGTTGTTTGATTCAACTTTATTATCTAAATAATAGAATTTTGTTTTAATAAATCTCAAATAAGATATAAATAATAGTATATAGATACTTTTTTTTTTTTATCAATATTATTATTACTGGGTAGATACGAACCATGTAATATTGGTGACTCGTCTTTAAGTAATATTTGAGACTCGTGTTTTAAACAAATATCGTCGTTGGATTCTAAATAAAATGTTCATGCCATTAGCAGTCTAATCTAAAAACATATTATCAATGTTTATGAAATATGTTGATTACCTTCATGACATTTGCACAATTTTATCATTTGTTGATTGTTCTTGACATATTTATTTGTAATAAATTCAACAGTTGTTCCTTTTGATAGATTTTCAAGTTTTATCAAAATTTGATTCAGTGTTGGACGTTGATCTGTATCAGAAGACCAACACTTTTCGATGATATGAGCATAATCTGATGGTGTGTTGGCAATAATTTCCTCTTTTTTGTTGTTCTGCAAAACTTGCTTAATTTTACAAAGATAGTGATGACCATGAATCGGAGGAACTCCACTTGTAAGTTCCCATAGCAATATACCCAGACTATAAATATCGGATTTTTTATCGCATTTTTTAATTTCACCTTTAAGGTATCGTGGGTCAGCATATGCTACTATGCCTGTTGAATTTGAGCTTGATTCGGTAGTATCATTTAATTGTTTCGATATTCCAAAGTCTGCAATTAAGGCCTTTCCATCATTCATCAAAATATTCTTGGAATGCTTAAAAAATTTTTATAATAAAGATTTAAAAGTTTAATTAAAATTCTATTGATATTTATATTAGAATATTAAATCCAAACTCACAAGGTCACGATGGATGATTTCATTATTGTGCAAATGTTCCAATCCAAGAGTAATTTCCTTTGCAATTTGGATTAGTTCAGACCATGAAATTTTATAAATATTATCTTGTTGTTTTCTTTGTAAATGATCCCGTAGATTTCCTCCATTTGCAAATTGTAATACCAGCATAAAATTACCGCTTAGTGAATCTAAATTGTCCAGCAATTTTATTAGATATTTAGATACACGATAGATATGAGAAACGAATGTAAGTACCTCTTGAAGTTCCAAAGATTTCAATAATGTTTGGATGACAAACATTACATAAATTATCAAGCTGTGCGTAGTTGTTTGTTAATTTGATGTTAAAAAAAAAACACAAAATATAGAAAATAAATAATTCACTACCTCACGCTTGATTTTCTTAAATCTTTTTTTATCCAAGAATAAGTTATCATTTAGACTTTTCAGTGCATATTTCTTTTCTTGAAAAGTAGCAGAGTACACGACTGCAGACCCTCCTCTCCCAATAATGTTTATTTCACTAAATTGCGAGTAATTAAAGCTTTTTGTCCCGATACTCCTCTAATATTGTAAAACATCCATTGTCAGTATATTAATTGAGTATTCAAATCATTATTAATGCGGTAGCTTACATGTTTTCTCTGGCATTTTTGTTTTATGTAAATTATGAATTTTCTTGTTCTTAACCTCTTGTATATTAACTGTCTCTTGGTTTGTTTAATAATTTTGAATAGTCGGAAAACTATTCGATATATTTTATGTTGAGAGAATATGATATAATTTTCAAGCGAAAGTTTAGCGAGAACTCCGAAAAATTCTTTATTTGGACAGTTATGCATCAAGAACGCCTCAATACATTCTGCGTTAGAAGCCCACACGATGTAAAAGGTTAGATCGTTGCTTGTGATAGATTTTTCTATAGTTGGTGAATCAGATGAATATTCGACTTAGCGTTAGCCAATTTGGTGAATTTGGCGTACATAGTGTACATAGAAGTACCGACAGAATTTCATTGATCGACATAGAATTGACCAATTAGATTACAAGATCGGGTGTAACGTGAAAATCATGCGTTTTTTAAAAAACCAAAATTTCATCTATATAACTACCTTCTGCGCACTAGTAAAAAAATTCCTTGCAATAAAAAAATTATACATTTTCGTTGTTTTGATAAGATCTGATTGGTCAATCAGTGAAATCCGCGGTGCCACTGGGTAGTTGTGTACATTACAACGCCGGTGCGTAGGATCGATTTTACTATCACATGATTTCCGACATCTATTAGCAAATTAAAAATCAGGATCATGTGTAACGTAAAAAATTTCAAAACAAATGTTCGCTTTGCAAAAATCACATTTATCTCAAAATTTGGTCTAGTAAACTATCTTTAGAGTTTTAACAAAACTTTAACCCAAATATAAACGAAGTTTTTTTAGCCCAACAACATTAGTTTCCGATTATCACGTGACAGTAAAATCGATAATACGTCCTGTCAAATGCTACTGAACATAATAGAACATAACGAACATATTGAACATGTTAGACATAGTCAACATATCCATAATTAGGGGCAGCTGCGCGACTGCGTCGCGCTAGTACCGGGAACGTGGAATATTTAGGTGTAGCAATATATAATGAGATGAGGGTTCTTGTTGGTATAATATAATTAATAAAATACCGTAATCTCTACTATCTAATTCAGAGTTTGTACATTTTAGCAGTTCTGATTGGTTACTAGCAAATAACATCAACGTCA